AGAGTCCTGTTGGCTGGGTGTGTGTCCCGACGGCTCCCACTGCTGTCTTGGCTTGACAGACAAGCACGGAGCCCCTATCTGCAGCCGGGGCCAGCATGGGTAGGGTAGGAGCTCTGCCTGCGGTCTCACAGGTGGGCAGATCAGGGAAGAGTCCACGATGGGGAGTCTCACCCTCACAGCAGCAGTGAGCTGCAGCAGAGGATGCCCATGCTCCAGATGCGAGACCCTCCATTCACTCACTGACGGGAGCCCCAGTTCTGCCACCTCTGCTGGGGGGTGTCAGGCAAATCCTTTCCCTTTCTGAACCATGAGCCATTTGGACAGACTGCCTTCAGGTCCCATCTGCTCACTGTGCCCCAGCCCTCTCGTGACCCTTACCCTTTCCCCCAGACGCTGCAGAGAAAGCAGCTCTCTCATCAGCCTCCACGAAGGCCTCCTGGGGGTGCTTCTGGTTGCATCAGCCCTCCCTGCGCCAGGCAGAACTAAGCCTCCAAACCCTCTGTGCTCATGCCCAACCGGAGAAGAGTCTCAAGAGTAGAACTAGAGAGGCAGACTGCGGCTCTCCGTGGGCACACTGTTTGGGGTTTCACGGAAGGACCCTGGGGTGCAGGAACCCTGGGGCCAGGGCTGGCTGCCTCTGACCAGCAGCCTGTAGAGCTCACTCCCTGGAGGAGCAGGCCAGGGAAGTAAGGAGCCAGCCAGGCAGCAGAGGCAAAAATAAATGCCTCAGTGCACTCAGGCTGAACAGACGGGTGCTCACAGCAGCGCCACAGAGGAGACAAGAGACACCCGCCCCCCCACCGGCCCCAGGAAGAAAAGGAAACCTCAAGCCAGGCCTTGTTTCTCCTGCTCGTCTTTCTTCTGGGAGCATTTTTCAAAAAGCATAAAGTGACAAAGGATGTTCCATAATATCCCCACTGACAGTCCCACTGACTTTAAAAATAAAATAAATATATGCAGATGGTAGGAAATTAAAATTGAACAGAACGAGACAAAATGCAAGTCCTCCCTCCCAACTCTCCACAACGGGGGAAACTGCAGCCGGTAACTCAGATGTGAACTACTTCTCACCACTGCCTCGGGGCTGGACAGAACCCCACCACAGCCCGCTACTGCCGGGTAGTTTGCTTATATCCAGCTTTTGACTGTATGTTATCGTTTGTATTCCATATTTTATTGTGTATTGTGCACTGAAACTATACAGCCTTGTAGCTCACACCAGGGTACCCCACAGGCTTCCTTCCTAGGGGTCAATCAGAGCTGCTGTGATCATTTTTTGATTTCTTTGGATACTGCCAAATGATCCTCCAGAAGAGTGGAATTGACTCCAGACTGCCGTTGCCCTTCACAGCCTGAGGGTGTGCTAGAAACTTCCTTCTCTAAGTCCAAGATCTGCCAACTCTCTGAGTGGCAGATGTTCCCCACCTTTATTTTTTTAAAGATATATTTATTTATGCATACAAGAACTGGGGTACAGGCCAGAGGTGCGGGGGGTGAGAGGACTCACCAGAGACAGAGTGGGGAGCAGAACAGGCAGACTGACTGAAATACACTGCTGAGGGGAGCAGTGAGCAAGACAGGAGAGGTCTGCTGCGCCATGTGGGTAGCTCCCTGGCAGGGACTGACTCGTGCTGCAGAGGCTGCAGACAGCTTCACATTGCTGTGCTTAGCCCCCTGCGCCAGCAGGGAGGCCCCTGTTTTCCACCTTTAGAAATACCCACTGGCTCTCAGCCCTGTGAGCCTGCCCTGGAAAAAGCTAGAGAGGTCTAGTCTTCCTCCCAAATGAGAGGGGCCAACCAGAGGGCAGAAACTGCCTGGGCTGACAGCTCTGCCCAATGACATGCCTGCCACTCCTAGTCTTTCCCACCCTCACATCTAGAATCTTCCATCACTAGTGCCAGAGGAGGCCTTGAAGATGGATCATTTGAGTACCTGCCCCCACTTCACTGCAGGGTTAAGAAAACCGAGGACATAAAAGACAGACTTGCCCAGAATACCAGCATGAGAACCCCCTCCCAGCTCAACCAGCTCTCCAGAGGGCTGCTGGTCCCCTCTGGGCGACTGTCTCCAATCACACCAAAGCCCCAAAGCTACTTTGCCAGCTACTTTCCCCACTGCTAATGCGAGGCTTGAGGCTAAAGGCACCCTCCACCCCCAATCTTCCAAGTCTGGCCGTGGGGCAACAGCACAACTGCCTCTAGGTCACCGGCTCTCCTGGGACAGATGGACCCTGAGTTAGGTACAATCACAGCCAGTTCTGCAGCATCACCCAGCTCCCGCGCCCACCCTGCAGGCAGTTTGCAAAGTCAAAATCTAGCTGTGCCTAAGGGGGCTGAGGAAAACCTCAAACATGTGAACCTAAGACTTAGCAGGCAAAGAGCTGAGGACTGTGCCAAGGGACCAAGACTGCTCCTGGGGGGACCCAGACACGGGACAATGGGGAGATCAGTGCCATAAGAATGTGGGCAGTGCTGTGGGGAAGGCCACTGCTTTTGTTATAGAGCTTTGGGACATCCTTTTCCCCCTAACACTTTGGCCAACACAAGGCAAGCAGGATCCCCCGCCTGGAGATCACGATCTCACAAGGACCCCACCGAGCAAACACAGGCTCCGTGTGCCCACAGGAGAGGGCCCCTCCACAGGAGCGGGTAGACTGTGGCTCACAGCGCTCTCCCACCTGCGGGGAGCCCCAACACCCCACAGCATGTGGCAGGCCCAAGGACAAGACAGGAGGAAAGGAGAGGATGAAGGGCAGGAAAGAACCACAGTCAAGGGCTCGCCAGCGCCAGGAGCTGCCTTAGATGCTGGACAATGATTCATCGGTGCCCCTCCCCCAGCCTTGACAACAGCCTGAGGGGATGGTGGAATCATCCTCATTTTTAAATGAGAAAGGCAGGCCCTGGGAGGCCAGTCTGGGTGTTCTCTCCCGGGTCAGACCACGATGGCTGCCTGACTCCAGCGGCTACTCCAGCAGGGGGTAGCCAAGACCTGCTCCAGACACGCCTGTTTGCCCAGCAGGCCCGGCTCAGGGCCTGGGGCCGGCTGGAGGGCCTCTTCCTCACACCCCTGCAAGCGCTGGCTGTGTGGGACAGCAGGAAGCGGCGGAGCTGCCATTTCCCTCCGCTCGGAGGCTGCCCATCTGTTTCCTGGGATAGGACTCCCTGCCCCGGCCCACCCCCGACCGGAAACTCACTTGCTCTGGGGCTCTGGGAAAAGGGAACTGCGGGGCTCCCTCCCTCCCCAGGGGCGGTGGTGAGGCTGTCACTGCAGCAGCTCCCGCTCCAGGCACCCCCCCTGTGGCACTGGGCACAGGGAGGGAAGTGGGGGAGCAGACCGGGCACAGGGAAGGAAGTGGGGGAGCAGGCCGGGTGGCACTGCCCCAGCAGCAGGAGCACCACCCGGCCTCGGGCAGCAGGAGGTCCTCCTCCCTTACTCCTCTGGGCAGGCCAGCGCCTCAGGCTTTCCCAGTCGGGAGGGGGTGCAGGGGCTGACTTTGTGGGTAGAAGTTTGCAGAAAGTGAAAGGTAAGCGTTCCCACACCGGCTGCCGCCCCACGCTGTCATCTGTGGGTGAGCATTGCCCCCTGCTGGCCGTGCCCATGACTCCCGCCGCGCCCCAGGCCTTCCCACACCAGCAAGGGGAAAAGAGGCAGGGCTGTGGGGCCCAGGCACCGCGCCCATAACCAGTGCAGGCGACATGGCAGCATCCGAGACAACCAAGCGTTCCACATCTTAGAGTGGAAGTTAGGCGTCCTTGAGTCCTTTCAGGCGTCAAGTCAGGCGTCCTTGAGTCCTTTCCAACCAGGCCCCATGCTCGGGCCTTGTCGTCAAGCGCAAGACTCCTGCTAAGTTGGTTCAGCCCTGACCGCCCACCCTCAGTCTCTCAGATGTCCCAGCAGGCTCCTCATGTCCCCTGTCCGCACGTCTGACCATCCTGGCCTGCCTTCTGTGGGCCACCTGTCGGCTGGATTAGCCAGAACGTTCCCGCACTGACTGTTCCCTCAGTCACTTCCCATCCACTGCTCGTTGCCTAGAAATACCCCTATTTCCTTTCTGAATTCAGAACTCCGCCCAGTTCTGCACTCTAGTCTGTTTCTGCTACTGCAATAGCTCTTCTCTATGAACTCTGTTTTTACCCCTCTAACAAGACCGGTTCTGGACTATCTTTAACACATCAAATGAGTTTAAAAGGGGGCAAAGCCACATGGCTGAGGCAGGCCAGGAGGGCTATTTCCATTGACGCTTGTGCAGAATTTGGAAAAGTGGAGACAAGGAAGAGCAGCCGCCTGGCAGGCGCCCAGCAGGAGGAAAAGGCCCCCAGGCAGAGCGCAGCGCAGTGGCAGAGATGGGCCAGTGAAGGACTCCCACACCTGACTGAGCACTTGGTGACCACCTGCTGCCCTTCGCCTGCTTGAAGCCTCAAACATTCCAGCCCAGAGAATCCCTCCGCAGAACCCTGACATGTAAAACTGACCAAAAGTCAGGGGGCCTGGTCAAGGACAGACAGATCACTCCCCCGACCCCCACCACTACCTATCTCAGTGCGGAAACAGAGCTGTGGGTAACGGGGAGCCTCTGAGAGTCCAGTGCATGCAGACAGGCCACAGAGGCTGCCGAACAGGGAGGATAGAGGGGGAGTGTTCCGACACGTGAAGGCAGGATGGGAGCCCATAGCACGGAGGGGGCAGGGGCGCTTACTCCATTTCTCCAGGCAGCCCTCCACCCACTCCAGGACCTCAACCTAAGTATGGGAACCCCAACCCTACACTCACCAACGCATTCCTGGCCGTCTCCCTGGTGCCCTGTCCACACTGTCTTTCCCAGCTCCTGGGTATGGTCACACCAGTGCCTGCCCCGGGCACACTCCACGTGTCAGCGCACAGAGGACTGCCGCAGACACAATTAAGAAACAGAAAACCCCGTTTGCTGCACAAAAACGCTCTGTCCCAGAGCAGAGGGCCTCAGGCCAGAGGTTTCCCTGCCTGTCTAGCAGGGTACTCACACCAGGAATGTCCAACAGCTGTGCCACCAGGAGAGGCAACTTCAGAGCTGCAACACTCCCAGTGACACCCACAAGAACACGGAACTGCCTCTCCCCCAAGGGTGCAGCAGCTGGACATGAGACCCGGGGTTCCATGGGCAGACTGGTGGCTTCTGGTCCTGGAGCCTTCGGGACTGGCCTTCATAAAGCTGTCAGGACTCAGGATCTAAAAGGAGAAGGGACACCACCTTCACTCATACATTCAACCAAAATGCATCCCTATTTAGCCTCGCCAGACCCTGAGAGGTGTTCTAAGAGAGACACCCTGGCCACGGACGGGGCAGTTACAATGCGCGGTGCTAAGGGCTGTGAGGAAGCTGTATGCCAGGGCCTGTGGCTCCCCTGGAGAGATGGTGAGGAAGTCACAGACCATGTTGCCGAAACAATGACATTCAGGTTGAGTCCTAAATGGACAAGTAAGTTTCCAGAGGAAAAAAACTTTGCAAGAAGGAGCAATCCTAGAAAGCTGAAGAGGACACAAGGTGGGTAGCAGGTTTGAGAAACAGGGAGCAGCTTAGGAGTGAGACTAAAATGTGATGTGGAGACAAGGCAGAAGCAGGCGAGGCTGCGAAATCAAGTCAAGGGCAGTGTCAAGGGTGATGTGGAGAGTCCTTGGAGGTGGACTTTGGCCCGCCCCCCAGGCTGAGTGAACGAAGTGGCAGGGCACAGGTTCAAGGGATGCGTGTGAGGTGGACGAACCCTCGGACAAAGAGCGCTGGGTGCGCCAGGGACTGAGAGAGTACCTCTCTGTCTCTCTCCCTGTACTCTGAAGTATATCCTGGGTATTACCCTACAAATCCAAGACCAGAAAGAGAAGAGCAGAAAGGTAATGTCATAAAGGAAGCCGTCAGAAAGGGCCCCTCTCGCACAGCTGCTTGGTTTCTTCCTCCGGTCTCAGATGTTGCTAGACGTGCACAGGATAATATGGCTGGTGAACAAACTAACATTTTTCAGTCTGGTCGACTGGACTAACAACAAGTACTCACTTCATTAGCAGCAATCACTGAGGACCAATTCCATGCAGCCAGGCAAAGGAATTATGGAAGAATCACTGCAGCCAGGGGAGCTGAGGATGAGTCAAGAGGACAGGAGTTAGACCTGAAATCATTGGAGACGGGTTCTTCTCTGTGATGCAACTTTTTGGGGATGACTGATTCAATTGGTATAACAGTTTCCTTGCCTGTTCCTCCCCACTCTTTTCCCACCCCCCACTCAGCTCTCTGAATGTGTGACAGGGTCTAATCACGAGCATCTAACTAATCAGGCATCTGGCAACTTCTGAACATCTGAAACCAGCAGGAGCAGAGGGCAGAAGCCTGACCTGTGAATAAGGATCCTTGGCCCTGTCCATGGTTGTGCTTTAGACCCAGTTTGTGACCTGGGCCCAGTCATTCCCTCCCTGGACCCGTCTCTTCATCAGGAGAAAACTTCTGAGTCAATACATGCAAGACAGTGGTGAGGGGCTCTCTGTACAAGTGGAGCCTGGAAGATGTGGGGTAGAATATGCAGAGGGAGGAGGCACTCAGGCAAACCCTAAAGAGGGAATACTGGTGAGTCACCCAAGAACTACCTCTGTGTCTTTGTACCCACAGGTGCCTTGGTACTAGGGCCCACTTACTCAGTAATTGCCTTTGAGACTCTGGCACATACTCCCATGAGCTAAGGATCACAGTTAGGTCCATTATCCCACTCCTCACCAGAAGATCCAAGTCTTCAAAATGTACAGGCCCTTGTCCACAGGAGCTAAACAAGGCCAGTTCCCTAGAGCAAGATTCCGCCAAAGGTCCATTTGCCAGCAAGTCAATCTCTGCTCCATATCATGGGCTCAGTCAAGGCCCTGCTTACCCAGAGTACAACTGAGTCTGCTCCAGGACCTGGGAGACGTTAGCAATTGGCAAGGTCTAGAGGCCTACCAGCCAGCTTCCTCCCACAACTAACCGGCCATGCCACCCACAGTGGGTGATGGAAACAGATTTTTGATTCTTCAGGGAAAGCTACCTTGCAGATATCAAACCTCAACTCTGTCACACCCAGCCAATGGGTCCTCGGACAGGGAGATTCCTGCCAAGCCAGGAGCTGAATTTCATCTCTGCAGTCCCTGGAGCTCCCCCAAATCAAGCTGCTATCATTCCTAAGGAACAGGTTACTGAAAGGAACAGGAACTTCCCCCATCAGTTAAACCTGGGGCAGGAATCCTTGTGGGTAACTTTATCGGCTTCCCCATAGCAGATGGTACAGCACAAGATCGGCGGAGCAAGATGTGCTAAAGACCACAGTCTACATACCTTTCTAGAAAAGGGCGGAGGGGTGTATGTACTCCAGGAATAGAAATTGGCCGACTTAGCTAACATTGAAAGCAGTCAAATTAGTTCAATCTGACAATCCCAAAGAGGGTGACAGCAGACAGTTCTTTGTGTTTGTTCTTCAAGAAAAGCAAATCCCAAACCACTAAAGTTGGTTACTCTATGCGGTTCCTGTGAGAAATACCTCTCTGTATGGCCAAGGTGGCTGAAGACAGCACCTCGTTTCTCTGGGTTCTGCTAGACTCACAGGAACTCTTGAGCAGCAGAAAGAGTTGGCAGGCAGAGAGGTTACGGGACTGAAAACTGATGACTGAGCCTCCAGCTGCCAGAGAGCCAGCCATGCAAGTTCGCCACAAGCAGAAAAGTGGCAGCTTCCCTGATCTTTAGAAAGACAAGGTCAGACAGCTAAGATCTTCGGCCCGTGGCAGGTTTGTGATATGTCTCCTACTCATGAGTTTAATTAAGGCCGAGTTTAAATAAAGGTTTCAGGGCTACCTTCCAGTCACAATATGGGCAAGTGTGGGGCAGAACCAGGACCAAAAAGGGCCAGATGGGGTATGAAGTCAGCCCAATACAGCAACCATGTCCCACCACAGGACAAAGCAGCACCAAATGCGAGTGGGGATGGGCAAGGACCCAGGAGCCATTAAAGGCCCCTCACTACTACCCTGGTGGCCTCATCCCCCACCAGGCAATACGCTACTGTCTCTGTAATTGTAAACTTGTACCTCTCCAAAATATCACTCTGCCTTAAAACCCAAAGACATTAAAAGGAGCCCTGTGGCCACAAGGGCACTTAAAACGTTTCCCCCAAGGAGAGACAAAGAACTCCCTAGGGAGAACGCAAGGTATTCTGCTAAGACTTCTTGCAAACTAGAAGCAAGGAGCCTTGACTCGGAAGCTTCTGGAATCATTCAGGCAGCCCTCCTGAAGGTCAGATTTTAGAGACATATACTAAATTACATACCTTAATAGATATTAATAATGACATGCACAGAGAGGGCTGGCAAGGTATTTACTGCCACTCTCAGTCCCTGGGAGCGATGTGGGCAAAAATTCTGCTCCCCAATCAATGGAGCCCCAACTTGGGACTCTTCCCTGCCCATCCTCCAGTACCAGCCTCCACACGCTTCGCAGGAGAGCTGGCCTCTCTTGATGCTTAAACTCCCTGAAGGGGTGGGGATAACCCCAGCATCACTGCGCTTTCCTGTTTAAATTTGACCTTTCAAAATGCAGCTTTCACTCTGCACAGTCCCTATTTCTCTTTGGAAGCCGGCTCATAATTTTCTTAGCGCTAAGCAACGGTGCGGGGCACTCGGAGGGTGACCGTCCACACCCGACCACAGGTCCCCGGGCAGGCGACGGGGCGGGGTGGGGGGGGGAGCGGGGTCCAGGGGCGACCCCCTCGTCGGGCCCCGCCGGGTGAGGGGCCAGCGCCCGCGACCCCGACCAGAGCAGGGACAGGGACAGGCACAGTCGGCAGAGGAGGGCGCACCCCAGAACGCACCCGCAGGGGCGAGCAGGCCGCCCCCCCCCCGCCCCCAAGCCCCAGCCCAGCACAACTGCGAGAACCCCGGCTTCGAGCCCCCCTTAATTCCTCACCGCGCCAGGCACATCTCGGGGCAGCCCCCAATATCGCGATATCTCGGCCGTCGGTTAGTGAACTCTGATTGGCGCATAACTACGCGAGCGCACCGGGCCGGCTGCGTGTCGCGCAGCCTTCTGGGAGTTGTAGTCCGCTCCTCTGCTTCCCGGTGGCGGTAGACCTCTGGGAAATCCTGTCACTCATCCTCCAGGCTCCGGTTCCTGGTATTTCTGGGGCTCTCGCCTGAGGCTGGCCTAATCGCCGCCCTGCTCACCGCCCACACCTCATCCCGCGTATACACGGTGCCTGTCACTGGGGCACTTACTACTGAGTATTTACCGAACTTGTATGTTTTAAGGGTGCAGGATACAGAAATAAAGCTGAAGCTTCCCTGTTGTAGAGACAAACAGGGCACAGAAAATTACAGAATAAGGGCCTCCTCGGGAAAGCACACACGGGCCTAAGCAAACAAGTAGGGGGCGGGAGACCGTGCAAAAGGAGTCACTGGAGGTGCATCTTGCAGGATGGCAGTGTTAGGGGCAAAGGATGTCCTAAGCAAACTCCATACAGGTTTTGTGGACGCCACCCCCGACTCCAGACCAAAGCCCTCAAGACACTGGGAATGATAAATCCCATCAGCACCAAAGGGAGGGCTGCTGGGACCGGAGGGTGGGATTAAGCAGCCAGGACACGTGGGCCTCAGGTCTCTCTCGTGGCCTCATGCCTCCTGGCTCTTTCCAGCTCTCAGCGGGCCATTGGGATTCCACACCAGCGGAAAGGGTAGGATGCATTCATGAGTTTATCTCCCTCTTTTTCTCCCTCAGTTATTCATTTCCTCATTTTCCCTTTCTTTTGTCAATAAACCTTTTATTAATCTTTTGCGTGTGCCTGCCATTGAGTATTAATCAGTCCCTTTTAAGCGCGCGGGTGAGGACCCACTGTCAGGCAACCGGTTTTAGAGCGGGGTTGCCCTGTAACAGCGGGAGCTTAGAGGCCCAACTGCACTGTGTGTGGAGGATGCAGCATTGGCCAGGGGAAGAAAGAACGGTGGGTGCACTTGGCTGCCTTCTTCATCTCCAGCACCCCCAGTGCCCTGGCACCCCTTGTGTTGGTTGGGGCCGCTCAGTCAGATGCCAGTCTCCATTGATGAGCGCCAAGGTGGGGCCCTCTGTTCTACCCCTGCCCTTCCCTGCACTCAGGACAAAACGCCCTTTATCCACTGCTCCAGCCTTCTGCTTGCTCCTCAGGGAATTCAGAACCCCTTCTTCCAAATAGTAAGCAGCTTCTGTGGCAACTCCAAATGCCTACTCAAGGCTGCCTCAGGGAAAGAAACCACAGAGGAATGTGGCTTTTGGCCCCAGGGAATGACAAGATACAGACCCACTCGACCCGCCCTGCCTCTGTGCCCCACAACCCACAGTGAGGTTCCACACAGGTCCACATGAAGACACATGACACAGGACCACACAGGGCCAAATGTTCCCCTTTATTATGGTTCTCTCAGTTAGCACAGACACATTGGCTCAGGCAGGTCAACTGCCAACTGGAAAATGGTCTGTATGTCTCAGAGACAAGAAGCGGTGGGCACCAACAGAATGCAAAAGCAGGTAACTGGCTGGCTGCAGACCTGAGGATTCCTAGAACTGACCTGGGCCTTTTTCCACCCCACCCCCAAGCCAGACCATCTAACAGAAATGAATCTGCCCAGCCCCCACTTCTCTTACGGGTTCTCTTCCCAGGAAAGTGCATAGTTGCCTGGAGATGCAGCATCCCAGGGACTGGACAAGCTGGGCCACACACAGGTAACAGGCCTTCCCCAGGGCAGAATCAGGGCTATACAGGTCTAAGCCAGATAAAAGGTAAGATAGGTAGGGCAGGAAATCAACTGGAGGTGGCATGGGTCACGGGCCATAGGCCATGGGCCCTGGGCTGGCAGCTAGACCACAAGCCTCGTGGAGCTACCAGAGAGACTAAGGAAATGGGAGCCAGAAGTCCAGGGTCAGGGAGAGGGTTGGGGAGAAAGAGCTGAGACCCAGGTCCCTCTTCAGGTACTTAGGGCTGTGACAACTGCTTCCAGAGAGAAAATGGTAGTGGAAAGAGCAATCATTCTCCGTGGCCCAGGGCCAAGGGACTAACAGGAGAATTTCCCAGGCTCTGCTTACAGGAAAATGAAGCGCCTGGAACTCAAAACTCAGGATGAGTTGGAAGCCCACATGTTGCATTCCAAGCTGCAGCCAGCCCCGAGTGGCGAAGAGGGGCTTGTGTTTTCAGGCCAAAGACTCCAGGTAGAAAGGTGGGTGGGAAACAGGTAGCTGCTGCTTGGGTGAGAACCCACTCCCCTCCAGGTCTCAAGAACCAGCACCTCTGCTAGTCAGAGTCCCATGATGCTTGGAACACAACAGCCCTACAGGCCTGAGATCACCATCCTCGAAGGGGAAAGGGATTCGGACGGGAGGATTCTGAAGAAGGGCCAAGAACCATGCCCAGTAGGCAGAGGGCAGCAAGACTGGATCCTTCCACCCTCCTTCCCTGAAATCCCATTCCAGCCATGTGCGTGGAGAGAGCACTGGGCCTCTGCTTCTTCCTGGGCCGAGTTCAGGGCCCAGAACTGCCCTGTGGCCAAAAGCAAACTGGGAGGGGAGGAGGAGGGAGGTGGAGGGAGAAGGGATGCTTGCCTCTCGCCGAGTCCTGCCTGCCTCCTCCTCTGACCTTCCCTCCTGGCCCAACCCTCTATGCCCGTCTCTTCTGCCAAACCCAGACAGAACAGCTACTGCTCCCCAGAATCCAGCGGTCACTCAGAGATGCCCAGAACCTGCCCAGTGGGCTTGAGCCAGTCAGACCTCACCCCGAGATCAGCAGTTGTTTACACAGCCTCTGCTCCAGGTGCACCTTTGCCTGAAAAGTGCTTGGACACCACCCACCTCTTCAGGGAGAATCTGCCCTCCTAGATGCAGGTATGGGAACCAGGTCACAGCAGCTGAGGGTGTCAGGAGGGACGCAGGCAGAGGGGAAAAAACTGAGGGGGCTCTAGGAATAGAAGGGGGGAAGCAGGGCTGGGAGAAGAGGAGGCTGCCCCTGCAGGCCACTCTCAGAATCAAGGAGACAGCCCCGCATTTCCATTCCCTGGCAGTCAGGTACCCAAGTGAGCGCCGCTTCTCAGCTGTGGGCCATGCCCACTGCTCGTGGCGAAGGCGCAGCTCCCCTGACTGCTTTCTTGATCTGGGAATGGGCTCAGTCTCAGAAATTCAATACAGGTGGGACACTCAGCCTTGGGGAAGACGAAGAAATGCCACAGGGGAGGAGAGAGCGCCTGGCAGGAGAGGAGACCACAGAGAAACTGACAGCAGGGAGGAGAGGAGGGGAGGGAAGGGTTGAGGGGGAGACCAGGATCAGAAAGAGCAAGGAAGACCCCCTGTTCACCCCCCACCCTCCCATCTCCCCCCACCAGGAGTGCTAAATACTGCTGCTTCCCAGTAAGACCAACAGTGGAAGGGTTTCAGGTCACAGCCCTGGGGAGGGGGCCAGGCTCTCTGCTATGCCTCCCCCGCCCCACGCCGGGTCCCTGGCCAAGCTCAGAGCGGGCAGTCCGGTGGAGGGTGAGGAGCTGGTTTAGTTCTAAACATACATCTAGCACCACGACAACAGAGACCTCCACGGCACACTACTCACAAGGGACACGGACACAGCTACCACCGCACGGGACAGCCCCCCCGTGCAGCCCGCAGCTCTCGGGGTGCCGAGAGCAGAGTCCGGAAGGTGGGGGGGAGGGAGAGACATATACGTGTGTGTGTGCGTGTGTGTGTGCGTGTATATATATAACTCTGATTCTCTGTACAAAGTTGGGGCGGAGAAAAGGAAAAGGGAACCCTGCTTGGTCACCTCAGCACGCGCTGTGGCTGGAGCCCCAGCCCACTGGCCCCGGCCCTGCCTCCCGGGAGGCTCCGCGGCTCACATCTCGTTAGAGTACGTGTAGTTGGGGGTGGCGGAATACTGAGTCTGCGGCTGGTTCATGGCACCCTGGGCGGCCCCCATGGCTGCGTTCTGGGCTGCCTGCTGCACGTGCGGGTTCTTCCAGGCGCCGGTGGTCCACTCCTCCTGAGCTTTGCTGAAACTCCCACCACTACCCCGGTAGAATTTATGAACCTGGAGGAGGAGAAGCACAAAGGGGCAATCAGAGGGAAGAGGCAGCCCATCTAAGCAGCCAGGGACAAGTCCCTGTAAAAGCCAGGTGTCCCACCCACGCCCAGTACACCGGAGCTAAGTCACCAAGTCATCCCACAGCGGGGCCCTTGGAAGACACAGGGGTCCTCCCGTAACCCGGAGGAGGGCTAGTTTCCTGTCACAGCCCCTTCCCGCCGCCAGAGGGGACCGCGTACCATGCTGAGAGCGATGAAGGAAAAGACAGCGACGACTGTGAACATGATGGTGGGGATGAGCATCACCACGGCGGAGCCAACGTTCGTGCCAAAGAAGGAGATGGTGGCAATCCAGCCGCTGTGGGAAGAGGTCAGCTCTGGGGTTGCTAGGCATGGTGAGGCGTACCCAGGAGCCACCCCCATAGAGCAAGGGGGTGTATCATCAGATGCACAGGAACCATCTTAGTGACACCCAAGGGCATGTACAGGGATTCAGGAAGAACGCTTCCCCACGGCTCAGAAGATGGGCTCCTCAAACATAAGGCTCCCGTCCTTCCCTCGTGTTCTCCCACGATGCTTGACACCCCTAGCCCCCAGAAACCACTGCAAGTTTCTCCTTCCCTCCAATGTTGTGGCCATGTCTACCGTAATATCCCAAATGCTCTCTCTTCCTATAACTCATGGTGTCCCCAAGCTTAACACACAGAAGCCAACGACACACCCAAAGTGCTGCCCTGCCACCCCCAATCAGCCCCGATAGCCCAGTCTCTTACCAGACGCCCCAGCCTGGGATGCCCACAGCCTGGATGATGCTGATGACCATCTGGGCCATGAAGGTGAAGAAGAATGCCATGAAACTGAAGGAACTGTCAGTCCTGCAGCAGAGGAGGTGGCTCCTGTCACCTGGATAGAAGCTTCCTGTCTTCAAGGCCCCCAGCCCTCCCGAGTTAGAGTGAGTACACAATGGACAGAAGACATTTGAAGGCCTCACTGAGAGGCCAAAATAAGGCAGCGTTTGCCCAGAGATCTTTGCAGGTTTCCATGTGTTAGGCCTGTGTATGCAACATGACACAGGGAGCAATCCCCTCGTGAATGGACCACCCACTGAAGCATGGGTGCTTGGCCCTCATTGGCACATGAGTAGATGAGTCCATGTGGCAGAAATAACCCATTGTCAAGGGGCTGGACAGTTCCACTGGCACATGGATGGATGGTCCCATAAGTTCAGAGGTAGGAAGACCCACTAGAATGAACACCTTATTGGCACATGGGTAGGTGGTCCGACAGGCAACGACAGTTGAGGCCCATTGGTAGACTGCTGGCACCAAGACAGCTAGCCCCTCAGTTACATGCATGGGTGGACCCTTTGGCACAGAATTGGAAGACCTCATCAGCATATAAATAGTGTCAGTGGTACATGAATGGCTCGGTTTCACTGGCACCAAATCAGCGAGTCTCACATGGACAAGGCTGGGCAGCTCCCCCAAGACAGGTGGCACCATTAGCAAAAGTTAACATGGAGCTGCTTGGGGAAGGCAAAACGACAATAGGCCTGGTCTGTGTTGCTCTTATGCAAGGGTAGTGTGAGGAGGGGAGGAACTCAGAGGAAGGCTCGACTCCCAGCCCCCTCACCAGGCCCTGCAGTTTCCAGGAAGCCCCAATCCTACCTGGTAGTCTAAATTGAGGGTGACCAAGGGAAGGTGAGTTTGGGGGAGTGAGAAAAGATGTAGAGAAGTCTAGACAAGGTGAGAAGGGCTAGGAGCTGGGGTCAGCAACAACCACTTACTTGAAGGCCTTGTAAATGGGCCGAAACCAGCAGACGTAGGAGCAGGGTGTGAAGAGGATGAGCCAGAGAAAGGCGAGGCCAAAGTTGGTGGCTCCCCCGCCTCCGATCAGCCACGCGAGACAGCCCACCAGGTTCACGGCCAGCGTGACGCTGTTCACTGCAGACCCAGGAGCACATGCACGCACAGACAGACAGACACCAGACAGGCGCACAGACACAGGTTCATGCAGAGATACATGCGCACCCAGACACAAACACAACACCCATAACTCAACACAGACCCACAAAAACACATGCAAGCAGCACGGACAAGCACAGTGATGCACACACACAAACACGTGCAAACCACATTTAAACAGATTCACACCGTGACCCACAACAGTGAACACACAGACAGATACACAAGACACACACATACAGAGGAAGTACAGACTGTAAGAAAGAAGCTGCGAGCTTAGACCAATCCCTCCCCACACCCACTCCTAGGGGTCTGGGAAATCTGGAGCAAAGACTCCCCGGAGCAGGAACCCAGAGCCTCAGCCTCCGAAGGGCCCCAAAGCCTCAGGTAGCATTAATGCTCTTCTCCTTAGAAGAGTGACCTCAGCTCCTGGCCCTCCCAGACCGACAGCCATCACCAAGTCCAAGGTGGGAAACCCATCTTCTACCTTCTCTTGCAAGGTAGGGGTACAAAAAGGGTCCCCCCTTGTAAAAGACTCTTGTCTAAGAGACTCTTGTCTCTTCCAGGTATTGTACCATCTGCCCTGGAACTTCAATAGGGCAGGGAGCAGTGGCTGGAACATTAGCCGTTATTAAATCTATTTCTTAGACCACTATCATACCACCTCCTCCAAGAAGCCATCCGTCACAACTGCAGCCTTAGTTATTCCCTAGCTCTCTGATCTGCAGATCTGGGCTGCTCTCGTGATTCTCCAAGTGCAAAAAACCCAGTTCATCAACCAGACTGGAGTGGGACCCGGGCTCCCACACAATCTAGCTGAACTTCAGAATACAGCATCACAGGGTCAAAGGCTCCTTATCGGATGCTGGCACTGACATGCACCCTGCTCTTCTGACATCAACGTGCTCCCTCCTGGGGCATCAGCCTGAGTTCCTTTAAGGCTCCATAAACACCGGCTGGGTGAACGAAGGCAGGCAGGTTCAGCCTCGGCTTCCGACATCCAGATGTCTATGGTCTTGGTTTCTTAATAGAACCCTTAAGCATCTCCAGGGTGAGGACTTAGGGGGCTATTTATAGCCCATAAATCCAGCTCCCAGATGCAATCTTCTTGGGGGAAGTTCCTAGAGCCCATGGTCAAGTAGAGTGCTCCCCTAGTCTGGCCTGACAACCCCGTCCCCTTTGTGAGTACACCCACCTCAGGGCCCCTCATGCCAAATGCAGACATTTCTTCCTGTGCATTGCAGCTGCGTTTCTTCCATCCCTATCCATTACCCTCAGAGTGCCTGGCACCTTGGTGTTCTCACTGATTTTGTTTGCTCTTTGCTGGCATCCTTGTGACGCCAGCAGGAAAAGACAGTAACACGGATGGCTGGTTTCACTGGCGCATGGAGAGATGGTCTACTTGGCACCAAACCCACTCGTCTCACAGGCACAAGGCTGAGTAGCTGCACAGATCGACGGTGCCTATGAGGTGTACCTCACTTTCCAGACGTGCTTGAGCTAGTGTTCCTGCCGCAATTGCTCTGCCACCTTCTTGGAATGGACTTCTCTAGACTTGGCCACCCTTCCTCTAGCCATCAGCTTTCATCTCTCTCCACCCCCACCCCCTGTGCAGCTCAGAGCCCGTGATTCATCAGGCCCCTTTGCTAATCCCCTCGCTGCTGTCTTCCGGGCACACTCAACCTGGGTGAACGGAACTGCCGCCGTACCCAAGCTGAATGTTGCTAGGAAGCAGCACCTGCACGGGGAGGCCCGGCAGCACTCTCCATTCACAGCGGTCAGGCTCGAGTGGACCCTGTGCCTGGCCCAGAAGTCTTAGCCATCAGGTTTCCCTGTACCTTCTGTCCACAAACATTCCAATCCCACGGTCCTCAACACTTCCAGCCCCACTTCTACATCATATGTGGTGAAAGAGATGGAAGCATCAGAGGGGACCTCCTCACGCCCCTCTCATCAGCTACAAACCTCCCACACCTGCCCAACCCTTCCTCCTCTCGTGTTACATGGGAAGAGGTCCCTTCTCCACCCAGAGGCCAACCAGGACTTGACAGTCACCTGTCTGTCCCCATACCATTTCTACCACTCCAGGAAGGAGCTGCTGCAAAGACCACGTTCTTGGCCACTGTCCTGGTACAATCACTCAGTGCCCAGGTGAGCAGTCTAGTGCAGGCCCAACTCCTGGCAACGTCACATGGGCTCAGCTGGTTGTGGTCACACTGCTGGGGTTCCCCGATGCCAGGACTTAGCGCAGGGCAGCCAGACTGCCCTCCCTGCACATGCCTAAGAGGGACCCTGGACCAGCCAAGATGGGCACTGTCAAATCCCATACCCCTCAAGGTGACACTCTCTCCACCAACCTGCCACAGACCTTTAAACACTGAGCCTCAAAATCGCCTAATATCAGGACCCTAGACTCTCAATGCACAAAACGCACAACACAGAGTTGCAGGTGACCGATGAGCCTGGTCTTCCCGCAAGTGAGAAGCCCGCTGCACAGAAAGGAGAGCAACCAGCCCTGCTGGGTCCCACAGCTCCCAACTCCAAGTTAAATGCTCTTCTCTGTGAGCAGTTTCCCAGAGAAGGCAAGAAAAAGGAGGCTTTGAGTGAAGGATTCTTCTCCAAATCCAGAATCCCAAGGCAGTCACCAGAGGGTCCCTAGAAAACTGTTCCAGTAGAAGAATCACTGGAGGGAAGAAGGGAACAGAGGCCTGGGGGGCTTGAGAGAAATTGAGGCCCAGCTGCTGGGGAGTTGGCCATGAGAGGTACCTGCTGGGAGCCAGGCAGGGGAGAGCTTACCTGGCCATGCAGATGCTGCAAGTGGGGTGAAGCACAGCAGGCCTGTGGACAACCTCACCCCAAGACCCAGTGCACCCCCAGCCCACGCCCAGCCCACAGCACTCACACATCCAGAGGTAGTAGAGGCGCTTAGTCATGCTGAGATGCTGGGGAGGGATGTCTGCCTCGAAGTCTTGGTAGAAACATGGCTTCAGCGGGATGAATTTGGGCAGCGGTGGGAAGTTGTTCACCTTCTCTGTGGACAAGGCACACCGGGTGGGGTCACCTTGAATATCCCCCCTCCCTGACGATCCATGTGTACATTCTTCCTCTGGTCTGGGCTGTTCCCAGGGCTCTGCACCACAGGCCGCTTTGCTATCCCCACCCACCCAAGCCAGCTTCCTGGATGAGCTTCCCAAACTATCCCTGAGGCAGAACACTGTCTCTCAGGGGCCTCCCCGGTGGCGCAGCGGTTGAGCGCTGGGTTGCGAAGCTGCCCGCGGCCTCTGCGGCGCCGGTTCGATCCCCGGCTGCTCCCCGGCCACCGGAGGAGGGTCCCACATGGCGTGCAGACCTCTCCTGCCGCCCGCTGCTCCCCTCAGCAGTGTACTTCGGTCCTTCTGCCTGCTCTGCTCCCCGCTCTGGCTCTGGTGAATTCTCTCACCCTCCCGCGCTTCTGACTGTACCCAGTGCATGTATAAACAAAAAAACAAAACAAAAGAAAGAAAGAAAGAAAACATGCCTCTATATAAAAAAAAAAAAAAAAACACTGTCTCTCAGAAGAATGAAAACAATAAATGCCTCCATCAAGGAGCAACACCATTCTCCGTGGGGACCCTGTTCCAAGCAGAGGAAGCAGGAGGGTGAGTCTGGAGACCTGGGTTCCAGCCACCACTCCAACATTCACACTTTTGGGCAAGTCACCAGCCTTCTCCAGTCCTCAGCTTACCCAAGGAGTGGGGGGCTGAGTGAGGTGGTCCCCAAAGGTCCCTCTAGCTCTGGCATTCTGCGCCTAAGCCTCTGGAAGCCAGAGGACAAGGTCTTGGAGAATAGGCAGCAATGGTGACAGAGGGGAAGGGCGCTGAGCTCATGATCAGCTGGCCAGGAGGACCAGGACATTGGGGTGGTTGGTCCCTCCCTGGTCCCAGGGGCAGGGGCCTTACAGAGGGCTCACAGTGTCATTCTGAGGGTCTCAGATAGACAGGCCTCAGGGAAAACCTGGGGACAAGAGGATAGAAACTGACCTCCCAAAACTAGGGGGGATATGGACCTCCCTGGTGGCGCAAGGGGTTGGGACGCAGCCTATGGGGCTATCTGCAGCCACTGCAGCACAAGTTCGATCCCTGGCCAGGGCACTACTCACATGGTGCAGCAGACCTCTCCTGCCTTGCCCGCTGCTCCCCTCAGCAGTGTATTTCAGTCAGTCTGCCTGTTCTGCTCCCCACCCTGTCTCTGATGAATCCACACACCCCCTCATCTCTGGCCTGTGCCCCAGTTCTTGTATGCATAAATTAAAAAAATATATATTAAAAAAAAACTAGGGGGGATATGGGAACTAGCAAGAAGGCCACCCAGCTTATACTCACTTTCATGTCCTACCCACGTGGCCTGCCCCCTCCTTACCTGCCATGATGGCACCAGGATGCCCAGGGGCCTGCCACGTCTCTTTGTCCTGAACTGGAAAGAAAAAAAAGTCAGAGGCTCTGAAAGTAGGGAAAAACGGGATGAGGATCATGGCTGGCCCAAGCCAGTCTCTCAGCCCCAACCTGGCTGGAAGCTCCCCCAAGCAAGCCCTGCTCCCCTGCCACAGTGGGAGGAGCCAGTGGAGAGAGCCCCACTTGTAGAACCCTAGTCCCACCAGCTGCCTCCTCCAGGGCAGCTTGCCCTGTGCCTCAAGGCACAAACCCAGACTCAGAAGAACCCATCCAAGGTTGGGGCGGGGAGAAGGAACTGGGAGGTGACTCCAGGCAGGAGGCCTAGCTGGGCCACCTTCGTCTTGTGTCTGTCTTTGACCACTGGTTCATTTGTTGGAGGCAGCAAGTGAGACAGAGGTGGCCCCAGCCCTTGGCATAAACTGCCAGTACAAACGCTGTGAGTAACGGCGGGACGGTCGCGGCTATGCACACACCCAGCACATGTCAAGGTGATCCGGCCTGGACTAGGGAGCCGGGCAGTTATGCGTAAGCAGAAGACCTGAAGAACACAGAGGAGGCGTCCAGGGCAGGGCAGCTTTCTGGGCAGAGGGGAAGCACGCAGCGCCTCACACGCTCTAGAGAAAGGAAGGAAAACCGACGTGGCCAAAACAAACGCAAACAGGGAAGCAGCAAGAGTGAGGCTGGCAAGGTGCAGTGCAGTTTTGTGTTTTTTTGTTTTGTTTTGTTTGGGGGGGGGTGTCAGGGTTGATTATTGAGGGCCTTAGAGGCAAGTTTGAGACCCTGAGGTGGATTTGGTGAGTCGGGGGAGAGAGGCTATCAGGAAGACCACTTGCCAGCATAAGCCACGAAGCGGACAACAGGGCTGTCCATCACAGGAAGCACCCGGGGAAAGAGGCGCAGATCCAGGGCAAGACAAGAAGTTGTGGCCTTACAAGCAAGGCAGGTCTGAGGTGCAGGGAGACCCCTCCCCAAACACAGAGCTGCCTCGTAGGCACTGGGGATGCTGAAAATAAAGCAATGAAGCTGACTACGCAAACGGATAACACAGCCACACAGGGAAAAGAACTGGTCAAGTAATTTGATAACAGTGCTCCGTGTTCTTCTAGAAGTATCGATCTCAAGGACAAAACAATTAGAAAGAAATTTACAAATTTGCAGGGTTCTGTTTCTGTCACACGAGTGTGACGATTCTGAGCCTCTGTCCTGTGTACTGCAGGAGAGAGCGTGAGAGCAGATGGGCTAATGTTGGGAACCTGGTTCTTGCTATTAGAGTAGGAGACAGACTATGGAATGTGGGAAGGAAAGAGCCCTGTGATGCGGGATTTGAATTGTAGGTGTCAGTACCAGTAAGAACTCAGGATTTAAAATACAGACATTTGGCTGGCTGGTCACAAGTTGACTGGTCAGGCTACACTATCTTGTGGTGCCAGAAACAACTAATTCAACTAATGAGCGTATTAAAAGGACACCAGTTTAAAGGGGTTACCACCAACTAGATCTGGGATAATTAAGAGCATCAAAAATAGCAATGATCAATACAAGTAATGAAAGATAATACATAACATACTAACTGTTAAAATTAATCATGAGTCCACGGTGACATTTGTTCTGAGAGAGGAAGAGGGCCTCCCTCGTGGCACAGGGGGTTGAGTACAGCACTGTGAAGCTGTCAGCAGCCTCTGCAGTATGAGTTCGATCCCCAGCCAGCCAAGGAGCTACCCACAGGGCACAGCAGACCTCTCCTGACTCGCCTGCTGCTCCCCTCAGCAGTGTATTTCGTCAGTCTGCCTGTTCTGTTCCCCACTCTGGCTCTGGTGAATTCTCTCACCCTCCCGCGCTTCTGACTGTACCCAGTGCTTGTATAAATAAACAAACAAACAAGCAAATAAATAAATAAAAATACATGCCTCTTTAAAAAAAAAAAAAGAATGTTAACATCCTAAAAGATAAACAAATGAAACAAAATAAAATAGCAAGGGATTAAATGCATGGAAACAAAGCCACGTGGCAGCAAACACTAAGCAGTGTGTAAACTCTGATTGACCCCAGTTCACGGGGGAAACGCAGAATCCAGTTCATGGGGGGAAACGCAGAATCCAGTTCATGGGGGGAAACGCAGAATCCAGTTCATGGGGGGAAACGCAGAATCCAGTTCACGGGGGAAACGCAGAATCCAGTTCACGGGGGAAACACAGACTCCAGTTCACGGGGGAAACACAGAATCCCAGTTCACGGGGAAACGCAAAAGCCCTCCCAGGGATCACAGATATGTGAACACAGACTGGAAAGTGGAAAATATCACTGTGTTCATATCACACTCCTTGGGTGTGATCCTGGTACTGGGGTTATGGAGAGTATTCTTGGGAAATATGTGCTTTACTTAGGGGTAAAATGTCACGATATTTGAAACTTCCTTCTGATAGAAAATAAAAAATGGTAGATGGATAGACAAGGAATCAAACCAAATGTGGCAAATAACTAACAATTGGTGAATCGGAATGAAGTGTCCCATGTACGAATCTTTCCATTTTAGTTTAGGGTAAAAGTTTTCAAAATAAAAAGCTGGAGAAAAATCTGAATAATGTTAGGAATGGGTCATAAGACACTGAGGGAAAGGAATGCACATCTCCACCAAGACACACGAAAGGCAGGAGAGAAAAGGAAAGATCTGACAAACAGGGAAGGAATGGCAGCCTGGGGCTGAGTCTTAGTGCTAGCACCCCTAACGCCAGAGTTCAACCCCTGGTCAGGGAGCTGACTCACATGGCGCAGCAGATCTCTCCCGTCTCCCCGCCGCTGCCCTCAGCAGTGTGTTTCAGTAGATTCTCCTGTTCTGCTCCCCCCTCTGTCTCTGGTGAGTCCTCTCACTCACACACACACACACACACACACACACACTGCACCTCTGGCCTACACCCCTGTTCTCTACTCAAAAAATAAATTAAAATTTTAAAGAACCGGTGCAGTCTGAGAACCACTCCCTCGATTACTTATTAATCACAACAGAGAAATAGTCCTCCTGTAATGAAGACAACCCAATCCGCAATGCTAAACCACCAAACCCAGCATTTTGGATGGGACAAAAGGACGTCATGTCCCTGGTGTGACACTCACACAGGGACGCGGCCCGCCTACATAGTATTATGGCCAAAATGTTAATCTGAATAGAATTATGAAAAAACGATTAGACAAATCCAGATTGTAGAACATTCTTCAGGACAAATACTAATGTCATGAAAGACAAAACTGGTGGGGGGAACTCCTCTAAATGAAAGGGCTAGGGACATCCAACCAAATGCAATGAGTGAGCCTTGAGAGGATTCTGTATTTTTAAATCACAGTTATATATTGTTAAGACAAGTATGAAAGTTTGAATACAGACTTCAGAGTAGATACCAGAGCTCAAAGTTAAATTTCTTAGGAGCTGTGGTTATATAGGGTAGGAGAACCTCTTTGTTCTAGGAAGATACATGTTGCTGTAACTGTCTGCAACTTACTTTCAAAAGGTTCTGAAAAAATATTACGTAAGACAAATGCTGTAAAGTATTAACAAACAGTGAACTGAGGTGAAGGATCCTCATACAGGTATTCACTGAACTATTTTGTAGGCTTTTCTGTAGCTTTGAGAACTATGGAAGTAAGAACGTGGGGGGAATACATATGTGTGTAGGTATAGAGCAAGTGGGAGGAAGAATTTTTACTACATATTTTTACGTTGCCTAAACCCACTCACCATCAATTTTAAGATAGATCATTATTTTATTTACCAAAAGAAACAAAAACTGCCAATTTGTAATCATAGACACCAAAAATGTTTTAGACACAGAAGACAAAATGTTTTCAGAAGTATCAACATGTCCATCTTAGAGTTGATGATATTCAGCACGTCCTTCTGCATTATGAATCATGGAAAGGTAGTACCTATTTTAAAAAATGAAAAAGAACAAGTTAGGCAGAAGAAGATGAGCTGGCAGAGAAGTAGGAGCAGCTGATGAGGCAGGAAGACGAGGCTACAGTCTCCAGAGCCAGGAGTAGAGAGTGGACAGATGTGACAGATGCCACTTGCAGGAAATGTACCTGAAAAGTCATTGCATTTAGCAATGGCAAGTCATCTGTGACCACAGAAAGAATCCTTTGGGCTGCCATGGAGGGGCAGCGGTAGGTAGGAGTAGCAGCCAAATTAGAGCTCATTGAACAGCTACGCTGAGAGCAGGTATGAAGAAGCCTGCTTAATTAGGAAGGGGACAGAGATCCAGTACTACCTAGGTGGGATATGAGGTCCAGGGCGGCTGTGGTCGAGGAGTGTTTAAGATGGAAACAGGGCCTCCCAGGTGGCGCAAGGGGTTAAGACGCAACCTATGAAGCTATCCACAACCTCTGCAGCACGAGTTCGATCCCCAGCCCACCAGGTAGCAACCCACATGGCACAGCAGACCTCTCCTGTTTCCCCGCTGCTCCCCTCAGCAGTATACTTCAGTCAGTCTCCCTGTTCTGTTTCCCACTCTGTCTCTGGTGAATCCTCTTACCCCCCCCCACCCCAACACACACCTCTGACCTGTACCCCAGCTCTTGTATGCATAAATAAATAAATCTTTTTTAAAAAATGCAGGGAGGGCCTCCCCTGGTGGCGCAGCGGTTGAGCGCTGGGCTGCAAGGCTGCCCGCAGCCTCTGCAGCGCCAGTTTGCTCCCCGGCCGCCGGCAAGGGTCCCACAAAAAAAAAAATTTTTGCAGGGAATTGTAATTGCAGGGAAAGTTGCAATTACAAGAGAGATGAAGGGTAAGCTCCTGACAGGGAGAAGCATGGGCGCCAACACAGCAGGTGGGACAGCCCCAATCCTAAGTGGAAGGACAGCATGACGCACAAGATGTGGGCAGGTTTGAGGCCTTGGAAAGGACAGTGAGAGTCACTCCCATATGCTTCCATTTTCTCGGTACCAGAGGAGACAGGCTGCAGTAGAGAGGGAGGAAGTAAGAGCAAAGGACCCAACTCAAGGGAGAACTACAGCACAGCCACAGCACGGCCAGAGCACAGCCTGAGAAGCACTCTGGGAGAGTAAGTACAAAAAGCTGTGGGAGGAAAGAGGAACACCTCCCTGTTCCATCCTGGAGGAGCCAGGCAGGGCTTCATAGAGGAAGTGACAGCAGAGCTGAATCCTGAAAGATTAGTAAGAGACGGCCAGGGGAGCAGGGCCAGGAAAGCAAATGTGAAGCTCAGGGCAGTAACATGACAAATTCAAGAGCAGAAAGAAGTAGAGCAGGGATGAAGCTCAAAGTGGAGGGAGGGAAGAAACACAAAAACAGGTTTGAAAGGTGGGAGAGGCTGTCATCCTAGCCTTGAAGGATCTGGGCTTTATCGTCAAAGCCCACATGGGAGCCACTGAGGGTCCTATTCTTTTAAAAATAGGTAGCCCCAAAGTTTGTTTTTTTAACAAAATGAAAATGTACAAAAACATCTGCAAGTTACAAAAAAAATCCAAGTGCATAAAGCAGAAAATAAAAGTTCCTCCAAAATCCACCTTCTCAGAAGCCACCCCTTTCTCTTTTTTAAAAAAAATTCATTTTTATTTATTTATGCATACAAGAGCTGGGGTACAGGCCAGAGGTGTGGGGAGTGAGAGGATTCACCAGAGACAGAGCGGGGAACAGAACAGGCAGACTGACTGAAACACACTGCTGAGGGGAGCAGCGGGCGAAGACAGGCGAGGTCTGCTGTGCCATGTGGGTAGCTCCCTGGCTGGGGATCAAACTCTTGCTGAACTCATGTGATGTCCCAGGGCTGATAGTGCTGAGACTTTAACCCCTGCGCTACCAGGGCGGCCCAGAAGCCTTCCCTTTAAAAGTCTGACCTTTAGGTTTTCAGTTTTTTTGTGTTTCTATAAGCATATATGACAAAGATGAGGTCATTTTATCCATGCTGTTTTATAACTTGTTTTTTTCCACTCAACAAAATTGCAGGAAAATTTTTCATGTCAATGAATACAGGTTATCTTGATCGTTTTAATGACTGGGCAGCCAGGTCAACAATGTCCACACCACAGAGTGCCAGGTGCGACATGGGCTGACTTGGCCACCAGGAAGTCACAGCTTGAGGGCGTGGTGGGGAGCAGGTCAGCTGCCAGGAAGCATAGAAAACCAGAGGCAGAGGAAGAAGGGACAAGTCTAGCAGACCAGCCTCAAAAAATGTGGCCGAAGTGTTCATTTCATGCAGACAATACCAGTGACCACACTGAAGTTCCACACACCAAAGGACTAATAGCATTCTCTTGAAAGTCAGATAAGTTTACTTATCTTTCCTTTCTAAAGTTTCTACAATGGCCATGTATCACTTTTGCAGAGACAAAGCCTTAGATTTAAAACAGCAGCAGAGGACAGGCTTAGAAAGGCTTTTCTAATTAGGAGATGAGCATATTCATAGGGGAGCAGAGATTAAGGGACATAGAGGAGAAGCAGAACAGCTGATGGACACTGGCACCTCAGGAGACAGGCAGGACCGGCCTCCACCACGGAGAGGCACAGAAGACTAGGAATCCTTTCACTGGGAATTGAGAAGTGGAGAAAAATCAGTAGTTTTAATGACACCCCCACCCCCCCTGCCATAAGCGAGCACGTGCACGCACACACACACACACACACACACACACAGACTTCCAACCACCCTCTCCGTGAGTAAAGGCCTTTAGGAAAGTGGCCCAGTTTGGAATATTCCTCCCATGGAATGGAATGGGGAGCAGACAGGAACAGAGGAAGGGTCTCTAGAAGCAATGGAAGACCAGTGAGGCTGAAGACCCCACATGGAAGCTGAGCCAGCCGGGTAGTTGATGCTCCCAGTCGCCCTCCACATTCTGAGGGCAGAGTCCTGCACTGGGAGTGGGCGGGACACACAGGCCGAGCGGCATGGTCGCTGAGGGCGTGGGCCAGAGAATGGTTACAGTACTGGACCATGGGGCCCAGGAAGGTCTCAGAAAGTGTGGTGTCAGGAACTAGAGATAGAGATCTCCCTGAGTTCACAAACAGGTAAAATAAAAGTTGGGCTGTAGTCAGAGGATACTGGAGTTTAAGGTTTCAGAGGTGGCTGCAGGCCAGGGCTGACCAGCGAGGCGTGGCCGGGAGAAAGGACGGCTGAAGGAGGCATTGCCTCCATAGGACAAAGGGATGGAGAGTGGAAGACTGTGGTCCAGCACTGAAGTCCTCCAGAATAACAAGGAAGGGAGGCCAGGGAGATAGTAGATCGGAGGAGCCTCAAAGGAAGAGACTCTGACCCCGGCTCCAGTCTGACCCCTGTCCTAGTACCAGGCTGTGTCCCAAAGCTGTCCCCACCACTACAGAGAAGTCAGTGCAGCAAAGTAAGGATGGAAGGAGAAATCAAAGCTCAGGGCCAGAGCACAGGGCAGGACTGTGCGGTCTGCATATGAAGACAGCCCAGAGAGAATTTAGACTTGGAGGGAGGGGGCTGCAGGAGGCTGGGGTCACAGGCTCCAGGCAACCTGACCTTATTTCAGGGTTCGCCAGTATACTGGGGGGTGGGGAGGGGTTGGTAACTGGCCTCTATAGAACACCATTCTTAAATGCAAAATGGAAGAAATAGCAAGTTGCTCCCAAATTTACAGTATTTCCTAGTGCTGGGGAGTTTTGGGTGGTGCTACACATCTCCCCAAAGAGAGGAAGCCTAAGGAAGCCTCCTTAGCTATCTTATAACTAATGCTACCTCAACTGTCTTCAAAAATCCCAGGCTATAATTCATTCTGTTTCTTACAGTGAAGCTGGAGGTACAAAAGCTCCCACAGTGGAGAGAGAGGGGTTCATGGCAGAGAGAACAAAGCCCAGCCACCTCAGATCAAGCCAGGGACCTGAAGCTAGTTTTAGGTCCCTGCTCACCAGCCCTCTCTCCTCCCCTGCAATAGCCCCTCATCCTATGCATAAACATGGTCATCTTTTTCCTGCCTGCCCACAGCATGGCTGCCAACACAGGAGTGTCCCCCCAACCCTCCCCCAACTCCATGTCTCATCCCCTGACCTCATTCCCCAGCCCTGAAATCCTAGAACTATGACTCCTCCTCAGAAAACAGCACTCCAGGCATTGCTATCACTGGCCTGACACAAACTCTCCAGTAGATCCCACTGATCCTGTGTTTAGCACTCAAGGCCTTGTGTCAAGCAGATACCTGCCTCCCTCTGCTTCTCTACCATGGCTGACCCACTTCCCATACAACCCAGATTCATGCAGGCCACCAGGTCTGGACACCCACCTATTTCCAGTGCCCCTAAACCATACCCTGTCGGCTCCTCTAAGTCCTGTTTTCTCACATCGTGCTTCTTGGTGAAGCCTTTCCAGACATCTGAGTTTTGCATCCCACTGCTTACATTCTGCAACAGTTCTTGAGCATCCAGTGCTCACTCTTGCTCATCCAGTCTCTTCACCTCCTCGTGGAGGGGGCTTCCAGGAGGCTCCCAGCAGAGGGCAAGGTACAGAGCACAGTCAATCCATGTTCTTACTTAAAACTTGGACACCCTCCCCAGGGGTGGGAGCAAAGCAAGAGACGCCCTCCTCCCCCAGTCCGGCTCAGCCCACAGCTTCTGCCAGCCCTGCTGTCCCACACTTCCTCCGGGAAGCCTTCAGAGACTCCAGGCCGGGAGCAAGGAAGGAAGTGCAGTCAGTCGGTGAGGAAATGCTGTGGGAAAGCGGCGGGACAGGGAGACACAGAAGGAGCAGGGGAGGGAGGCTCTAAACTAGAACAAGCAGCTTCCTCAAGGGAGGTCAGTACTTAGTCCTATTATTTCATCCCTAGAGAAAGGCGCTGGCAAAGAGCTGCCCAGAGAGAGGAACCAACTCTGGCCAGCAAGCCAGCCAGGCAAAGGATTAAAGAAGCAGCTCCAGCGCCCAAGGGTCCTATCCAGGGCTCCCCTGCAGGACCCTCTCACTCCCCAGGGGTTTACTACACCGTCCCTAGACCTGTTCACCGGGGACAGTCCCCTCCCAGCTCTGGAGACTTTCCCGCGGCTTACTAGGCCCCCCGGACCTCCTCAGCCGGGTGTCGCTCCAACAGAACCTCTCTGCAGCCGGTCATGTGCCTGCAAGAACCACCTCCCTCTCTCAGCCCACCCGGTGGGGGCAGAACAGGCTACAAAATCCTCCAGAATCCCCACCCCAAGGGCGCAGGCCCAGGATTGGGAGCAGGCCCAGGACTGGGCCCAGGGGCCGCGCTCCCCACCGGCGGCGCTTACCGCCCTGTCCGGCCTCGCCCACACCCCCCAACGTGGCGCCCCCTCTCCTGCCCCCGTGCAGGTGCCACCGTGCCAGGAGCCTCCGGCCCCCGGCCTTCGCCTCCCTCCGCTCGCGTCTCCGACGAGCACGCCCGGGCCGCGCCGGCTCCCTCCCCGCCGCGGGCATCGCCGGCTCCAGCGCCGGGCGGCGACCTCTCCATGCGTCCCCGCTGCGCGCCCCGAGCGCGGGCCGGGCGCCCCAGGGGCCCCCGAGGCAGGTGCGGGGATGGCTCCAGCCCCTCGCCCCGTCCCCGCGGCCGCCACCGGCCCGGCCCGCGCCCCGACCCGCCCCCGCGCGGGCTGCACGGGCTCCGCCGGGCGCCCCTCCCCCGCACCCCGCGGCTCAGCCCCGCGCAAAGGTCGGCGCCCGAGGAGCGCAGGGCGGGGCGCGGCCAGGCCACCTGCGGGCGCCCCGAGGAGGAGGCACCCGAGGGAAGGCGCAGCGCCGCGGCCCCGGCGCCCCCGCCCCGGCCGCCCGCACCCCGGCCCCGCACCCCGGCCCCCAGCCCCGGCCGCGCGCGCCACCCGGGGGGAGGAGGCCGTTTCCAGGGAGCGCCAGGTGGGGCGGGGGATGGAGGCCCGAGGCCCGGCTCCAGATCCCGGGCCTGACGTCATCCCTCTCCAGACCCGGGGTCCCCCGAGGAGAGGGGCGGGGGCGCGGGGGCCGGGACGCCCCGGGCGCTCTTCCCCCGCCCCGAGCAGGTAAGGTCACCTCGAGCCCCGGCTCCGCAGCTCCCCGGCCGGCCCGGTGCACCCAGAGGTGCGGCGCTGGGGGAGCCAGGCTGGAAGGGGGTGACCCCTCCGGCCCCGCACGCGGCTCCCCCGCAGCGCCACCTCCGAGCCGCGGGCCGGGACTCACCTGCCGCGGGGGCTCCGCCGCCGAGAGGCCGCGGCTGTGCTGCGCTGCACCCGGCGATGCGGCGCCGAGCCCGCGGCGAGCCGCTCCCGGGCCAGCGGCGGGTGCGCGCGCGCGCCCCCGACCCGCTCCCGCGCGCGCCCCGGCCCGGCCGGCGGCAGCTCTCGCGAGACTCCCCCCCCCCGCGAGAAGCGGGCCCGGAGCTGTCCGAGGTGCTGCGTCCCGGGCGCGGCCGGCCACGGGGGCGCAGGGCCGGCGGGGTGGGCGCCGGGGGCCAGCAGCCAGGGCCTCAGCGCCCGCATCTGCTACCGGGACAGTGCCCGGACACGCCGGTCCCGGGGCGCCGGGAGCAGGAACGAGGGGTTGAGACAGGAGAGCGGGTGGCTGACGAGGGTCGTCCAGGTCCCAGGCCCAGGTGGCAGGGCAGGGGGTGACGAGGAGGCGAGGCGGGACACGGGGAGAAGCATGGACAGCAGCCTCTGCAGGCACAGAGCTGGAAGACAAAGCGAGGAGAGACATAAAGGTAGACGCAGAGACTTGGAGAAAGAGACAGAGGCACGGCAGGGTAAGATCTGGAAAGAAAGACATGGAAAGAGAGAGAAGAGAGAGCATGATGGAGTCAGAATGAAATAAGAACGAGGGACTGGCAAGTTATACCAAGGAATATAAAGGGAAAGGGGTAGAAAGAGAAAGAAAACAATGCAAGAAACGAGGATATGCAGAAAGGTACACTTTAAAAAAAAAAGATTTATTTATGCATACAAGAGCTGGGGTACAGGCCAGAGATGCGGGGGTGAGAGGATTCACCAGAGACAGAGCGGGGAACAGAACAGGCAGATCTACTGAAATACACTGCTGAGGGGAGCAGCGGGCGAGTCAGGAGAGGTCTGCCTTGCCGTGTGGGTAGCTCCCTGGCGGGCCGGAGATTGAACTCGTGCTGCAGAGGCTGCAGATTGCTTCACAGTGCAGTGTGCTTAACCCTGCGCCACCAGGGAGGCCCCAGAAAGGTACACTTAATGTGAATGGACATCAGCATAACCCATAAAAAAAACAGAACTAACAGGGTCTAGAGATGCCTACTTGGAGAAATGGGACTGGGAGTGAAAAACAGGCTTTTATTGTGAGTGGTGTTTACATTGTAAACCTCCTCTGGGAGCTCAACAGCCAGGGGCACTCTCTGTCTTGCCAGCCAATGGCTCTTGCCCTCCGCAGGGCCCTCCACCCACACCATTCAGGGGCTGGAAGGGGGCCTCAGTGGGTGGGAGACACTGCAGGGATTCTTTGACCAGAATAAGAGCCCATTGTCCAGCTCCAGCCTGCTGGGAGTGGAGCCTGACTCCCACAGCTGGGACAGAAAGGGGCGGGAGTGAAAACAGACAGATGAGAATTAGTGCAAGAGAGGGAAGATAGGGGAGCGAGCTTCAGGAGCTATGAAGTGTTTGACAGGAAGCATAGTCTAGCCATCAGGCAAGTCATGAAGAGAAAACTATGAGCTGCAGGGCAGACAACTGGATCCTAATGTTGGCCCTGTCTCAGATTCACCCATATGTTCTCACTGCTCTCTGCCCCTGCTATGATGCCATTTCCAGCTGATTTGCAGCGCTGTGGGGAGCACCTAGTGAAACAATGAATGGGAATCTGATGAAGTTATAGAGCATGGCTCCTACAGGAGACATAGTGTATTTCCATGTGGGCCTCAGGAAAGATGAGGGTTCCCAAAAGCTCCTCAGTGGAGTCTGAGGTCCAAAGTGAGGTCTACAGAGATTTGTTGGATCGACATGGAATTTTTTTTTAAGATTTTATTTATTTATGCATATAAGAGCTGGGGTACAGGCCAGAGATTCGGGGCAGGGGGTGGTGAGAGGATTCACCAGAGACAGAGTGTGGAACAGAACAGGCATATTGACCGAAGTACACTGCTGAGGGGAGTGGCGGGTGAGTCAGGAGAGATCTGCTTCACCATGTGGGTTGCTCCCTGGCCCACCGGGGATGCAACTCATGCTGCAGAGGCTGCAGATTGCTTCATAGGGCAGTGCTTAACCCTTTGCACCACCAGGGAGGCCCTCAACATAGAATTTAAAAGAGAAATCTTGTGGTTAATATGGGCCCTAAAGGAGAAATGTTTGGGCCCCTATCTGCTAATCACATATGACATTGCCCTGGTCAAGAGAATCAGAAGGGCCTCCTGCTAAGCTAACAGCAGAGGCAGGGAAAGTGCCCAGGTCCAAAATCAAAGCTCATCCTTGTTTCCACTGATTGTGCCTTTAGAATTTGGGCAAATGGAAGGGGACAAATGCTGTTAGCAATGTAGAATAAACACAATTTTGTTCAACAAGCATTTTCTGATCACCTACTATGAGAATAGCACAGTGCAGGGGTTAACAATATGAACTTAGAAGGCAGACTGCCCACCTTGCCAATTGTGTAAGTTTGAGCAAGGTACTCAACTAAACCTGAGTTTTCCATATGTGTAAAATAAGGATGGTGGTAATAGAACCTGTGTCTTCAAATTCCTGTGATGATGAAATGAATTAATACATGTGGAGCCTCCCTGGTGGCTTAGGGGTTAAGTCTCAGCACTATCACTGACCACCTGAGGTTGATCCCCCGACAGGTTGCTGACCCACATGGTACAGCAGACCTCTTTTGACTCGCCCGCTGCTCCCCTCAGCAGTGTATTTTAGTAGATTGCCTGTTCTATTCCTCACTCTGTCTCTGGTGGATCCTCTCATCGCCCACACCTCTGGCCTGTACCCCCGTTCTTGTATGCATAAATAAATAAATCTTAAATTTAAAAAAACTACTTCAAAAAAAAATCTGTTACAGACCAGTAAAAACTGAAAAGAGGACTAGCATTTACTGAACCTTTAATATGTCTGAGCTAGATGCTATTCCTCAAGACTCGCCTGCAAAGTGCTATTATCTCCATTTTGTAGAAGAAAGTAAGATTCAACAGGTCAAATGATCTCCAAGGAAATAGCTGAGAAATGGAATATCCAAGTAACTTTAGGTTGGGCTTCCCAGCAGCAGACACTGAGATGTGAGTACAAATGGTATATTTGAGAGATGACCATGGGCCTCCCCTGTGGCACAGTGGGTTGAGTGCCTCGCTGTGAAGCTGTCTGCAGCCTCTGCAGCGCAGGTTTGATCCCAGCTGGCCAGGGAGATGCCCAGCTGATGCGGCAGACCTCTCCTGTCTCACCCATTGCTCCCCTCAGCAGTGTGTTTCATCCGTCTGCCGGTTCTGTTTCCCACTCTATCTCTGGTGAATCCTCTCACCCTCCCGCGCCTCTGGCCTGTACCCCAGTTCTTGTATAAATAAATAAATCTTTAAAAAAAAAAAAAAAGATGACCCTAAGAAGCCAAAAAGTAATAATAATGAGGGCCTCCCTGGTGGCACAGGGGGGTAAGCACTGCACTATGAAGGAATCCGCAGCCTCTGCAGCACAAGTTTGATCCCCAGCCAGAGAGCAATCCACATGGCGCAGCAGACTCTCCTGACTCGCCCACTGCCCCCCTCAGCAGTGTATTTCAGTCAGTCTGCCTGTTTTGTTCCCCGCTCTGTCTGTGGTGGATCCTCTCATCCCCTGCCCACACTTCTGGCCTGTACCCAGCTCTTGTATGCATAAATAAATAAATCTTTTCAAAAAATGAAAGGAACCCAACTCAGGATGCAATAATGAGCAAATTACCTCTGAGG